CATAAGCATTCTTATTAGAAAACTGAAGTTGAAGTCAAATGCAATCAAGTTAACTCTCCTTGATTTTAAGCTCCAAGGAGAGAAGCCCCCTCTTTCTTTTCCTCCAGGCTCAAACTGCAGCATTAGCCTGAGCTTAGGGCAGGAGGCAGAGAGGAGAACAAAGCCCTATTAACTTATTTTAGTTATCTAGGGAAAACTCACTTTTTTTTTTTTTTTTTTTTTTTTTGAGACAGAGTCTCTCTCTATTGCCCAAGCTGGCGGGCAGTGGTGCAATCTCAGCTCACTGCAACCTTCATCTCCCAGGTTCAAGCAATTCTCATGCCTTAGCCTCCCAAGTAGCTGGGGTTACAAGCACGCACCACCACACCTGGCTAATTTTTGTGTTTTTAGTAGAGATGGGGTTTTGCCATTTTGCCCAGGCTGTTCTCGTATTCCTGACCTCAAGTGATCTGCCGCCTTGGCCTCCAAAAGTGCTGTGATTACAGGCATGAGCCATCGTGCCCAGCCAAACACTTCAAATCTACGGGCATATTCAGGCTTTTTAATAGCTTTTCACCCTGCGTAGTATTCAATCATTGATTCCACAAACACTTCTTTTTTTTAACTTTTATTTTCGTTTCGGGGGTACATGTGACTGTTTGTTACATGGGTAAACTTGTGTCACGGGAGTTTGTTGCAGAGATTATTTCATCACCCAAGTATTAAGCCCAGTACCCAATAGTTAACTTTTCTACTTGAGACTATCTGTGTAGCTGGGGCTACAAAGAGAGTGTGAAGGACAGGCATGGAATCTGAGGAATCTGAATACTTGGTTTCCAGCCCCAGCTCTGATAGGAACTCTCTGTGTGATCGTGGGCAAATCACTTCTCTCCTCTAGGCTTTAGTGTCCTCATCCGTAAAATGGAGTGTTGGACTTATTAATATCTAAGGCTGTTTTCCTTCTTATTATCTATAATCAACATCTTAACCTGTGAGCTACAGATTCCCAGAGCAGAGGGACTAGAATTTTTTTTAAGAGGTCTGGGAAGTAGTCTATGCATCAAGCATTATCTGTAAATAACACACAAAATTACATTTCCTTTTGTATGTGTTGGAGAGAGGAGGCTAATGCACTTTGCATAAGGGCCTCACACTTGAAAGGGCAGAAACTCTGGTGTGAATGGCACTGGCTATCATCCTGACTTGCACAGAGCTTTCAGTCTAGCAAAGATATAACCCAAGCAACTTGAATACAATGAGAGAAACAGATGCGGGTCCTGAAAGTTCAGAGGCAGGAGAGACCAGTAAAAAGCAAGGAAGTTCTCTTAGAAGTTATAGACCCCACTGAGAAATTGGGAGAACTATTGGCCTCCCCCAACCCCCACCATACAAAATGCACCAAATTTTACATACCATTGCCAGGTGATCACAGGCCTTCAAGTTCATCTCACAGAACTCATCACAGTTCTTAATCAAGGTTAAGAACTATTGATTTAGATAAACCCATAAGCAGAAGTCAGGCAAGTCTGGAGCAAATTCCTTACTTGAATTCTTGAACAAGGGCACCATACAAGCTTGTAGGAGAGGCTAGAGACACTTTGGGATCAATGACCCCAGGGCCTGAGAGGTCTTGATCAGAGAGAAAGGGGCATGGGGAAGCTTGGGTGAGATAAGCCATGAGCCACCTTCTCTGTCTCTTCTGCTAGACGAAGCAATTTTTTATGCTGTTTCAGAAGGCCAAACTCATAAGCTTCAAAACATAAACAAGCACAGCCTCTTAAATCACTGGGGAATTGTTTATGAATTAAATCATCTCTTCATAACAAACAGAGACCAGGCTGAGGATCCACAACCTCTATGATTAGATGTAGACAGGCAAGGAATCAAGAAGGACCCCTGTGGGGATGAGACCTCATCTGAGATGGTCCCATTCAGAGGCAAGGCCACTGGCTAGAAAACCCTGCCTCTGTTCTCATGAGTGAGTTCCTTGGGGTGGTAGAAACCTGATGGACATACAACAAGATTTAAAAGCTGAAAATATGCTTTCGATCCTGAAGTGGTAATCATTTTAAAGGCCATGGCCAACACCACAAGCATTACAATTACACTCAGCAGTCTCACAGCAAAGGACAAAGGACGCAATGGCAAAATGTAGTTTGATTGAGCCAAGGACATGGACCCCCTGAGTGACTGTGGGCGCGGAATGACTCCCGAGTCAGAGCTTTTCCCACTTTAATGTATATCTGAGTCACCCAGCATCCTGTTACTAGGTGGATTCTGATTCAGTAGGACTGGGATGCAGCTGAGATTCTGCGTTAACAAGTGCCCAGGTGATGTCATGATGCTGGTTCCCAGGCCAAGATAATGGCAGTGACAGCAGAGCACAGCTAAATTCATGGACTCTGGGGTCAGAGAGGCCTGAGTTCAAATCTTGGCTTCCTTATCCCACTGACTGAATAATATTAGTTACTTAGCCTGTTTGAGATTTGGCTCTTTATCTGTAAAATAGGAATAACAGGCATGATTATTTGTTTATTCAATAAATATCTATTAACATCTTCTATGTGTCAGGCTTGTGCTGGGCCCTGGGGATGCAATGGTGAGACAAAGCAGACTCGGTTCCTGCTCTCGGCAATCTGATGGTCTTTGAGATGATGGATGTAAAGTATTTAGCACAGTGCCTGGTACCTGGTAAGAGCTCAACAAATGATATGTATTTTTATTAGTAGTAGTATAGTATCATCAATTTCAAGCACCCCGGGGAGAGAACTCTTCCGGTAAGTACCGAGTTCCTGAAAGGAGTTGTGATTCATTCTGTAATAAATGGGACACTGAGATGAAGGGTATATGGTCCTGCCCCTTGAGGAGCTCCTGGTTTCGTGGAGAAATGTGTATTTAGCCCAGGTATAGCACAAGTTAGATGCAGAGTTCACTCTGTTCACAGGCTTGATCCAGAACTACTGGCTTCCACGTGCTTCTCAGAGCTGACCCTCCTTCTCTCTTGGTTGCCCTGCCCCCAACCATTGTTTTTTGACTCTGCCTCCCATTTTTTACCCTTTTCCTACATGTTGACTTGAAAAATGCTTTATCCCCTCAGTAATGACTATAACCTAATGCCTGCTGGCTAGATAGCCTGTAGACTTCCCACTAAAGCTATGTATCACCCCCTAGGCCTCCCTACCTTCCTGCCCACCAGGGTTATACAAATGGATCAATCTAGGCACCTGCTATGGAGCTCTGGACGAAAATCACAAAGACTTGGAATGCTCCGCGTTCCATTGGAATTCTCAATACGCTGAGTATCAGGAGGTTGAAGATCATGGATGGTGTTCATAAGGAAATGATAGTGTGCTTCCAGGTGGCCTGGTCGTAGACATCTAGGTCTGGGCCTTCCTGTGGCCCATTCCTGGTACAGGCTTCGCTACAGTGAGGCTCTAAGTCAAGGCCAATGAGAAGGTGAGAAGGAGCAGGCAGCAACTTCAAGGAACAGCTAATGGAAGGAGACTCAGAGCCTTAATCTTAAAATCAACTGAAGCAAATCACAGAGACTTATTGAAATTGTCACGAGCAGCACTGGGGCCTAGGGATGAAGTAAGGACTGGGGCATAGTCCCTGCCCTCATGGAGTTTACCATCAAGCACTGAAAACCAACAATGACAGGGCATGACAGCACAGCATGGTGGGCACCATCATGGCGGACACACTGGAACTAGTGCAGCCCATCAACAGAGGCTTCCCAGGAAAAGCACTTCAGCTGAGACCTGAAGGAGAAGAAGAGTGAGGCCAAGGGCGGTGAAGGGAAGGAGCATTCCAAGATGAATAAACAGCACTCAGAAGGCTGGACCGAAAGGACTGCTCTATGTGGTCCCAGAGACAGGTGTGAGACATGGACCTGTTGAGGGGGCCAAGGGCAAGCCGCACAAGTCTAACCATTCCAAGTGTCCAACTTGGATACCTCCCCAAGGGCAATGGGGGGCCACCGAAGGTTCTGCAGTACAATTCAGCACCAGTTATTAGTCTGCTTTTACAGATGGGAAACTGAGGCACCATGGAGTGGTTAGGTAACTGGCCGGAGGTCACACTATCAAAAAGTGCCAGGGCCAGGATTCCCTGCCGTCCGAGGCCAGAGCCTACACCCTCCAGCACGTAGTTAAGTGCACACAAAGGTACAAACACACATACATTAAAAAAAAAATACAGCCGCGGCACAGGGCTCAGTCAGAGGCCTTGCAGGCAAACTCTATTTAAAGTCATTTAACAAGGAGCCTCTTAATGATCTCATTAGCCTGGACAGGGCCCTTAGGAAACTTGAGGCAAGGCTCTGCTTTAAATGGGGCTTCTTTGAAGTGGCCACCACCTGAAGCAGCCACCTGAATGGCGGGTAACAACGAGGGCCTGTGAGCCCTGCGCCCGCTTGGGCTGCAGCCACGGGGCCTCTAACACAGCAAGACTTGGCCTCGGTGGAGCCCAGGACGCCTGTCGGGTTGCTGTTAGCTCACTCCCAGCCACCCTCTCTGCAGGCCCATTCAGATGGGCGATCTGGCTGGCCAGGCCACAATGAGGTCATGCGTCATGATGGCGGTGGCCGGAAGCAGACTGTGGCCTTCTTTAGGCCTCACCCTCTCATGTCTGGACTCCCAGGCTCCCCTCGGCCTGGTCTGACTCCTGATCAGGGTTGCTTCATGGTTCTCCCTGATCCCAGGCTCTACTTCTACCCTCTCCATCCCCAGCTCCTCTCATCAGTCCTCTTGTTTCTAGACTGACTCCCTTCCCTTCCAGCCACCCAACCCTGATCTCTTCATGATCCCCTTAAGGGTGGGTGTCTGATCTTCCACAGGAGCAGCTATGAGATCCCACCCAAACATCACCCCCAACCCCAGTCACCCTGGATGCCTACTGCTCTGGTCAGCTCTGGGGCATCTGGGCCCCCGCTCCCTCTGCCTGGGGGAGGGTCAGCATCCCAGCAGGGCCAGGCCACACAGCTCCCAAGCTGCCCCAGGAAACAACTGGGGGTGACTGACCTTCTGAGGAATATGTACCTTGCCAATTGTCCCACCACGGGGTGCAAAACCCAGACAGGCAGAAGGAACCGATTCACCTTTCCAGAACTGCATGCAGAGGCCCTCCCAGCAGGCTGTGGCTGCCGCCCTGCCTATTAATAGTCAAGCAGCTGTTTGCCTCTCTGAATGAGAGTCTTTATTGCAAGCTGCGTTGACAAAACAGATCCTGCTCCTTCCTGCCCAGAATATGTGGGGGTGGAGGGGCCACAGTGAGATGTTCCTTCCTTCCAGGGACATTGAGAAGATCAGCACTGGGACAGACCTCAGCAGAGACCCCCTGAAAATCAGGGCCAATGCCAAGCTCATTCTCACCACCTCCCCTGCCCCTCACTTGCTCCTTTGCTCATGTTCCTAGTTTCAGCCAGCAGCTCCACTGTTCCTTGGTACTTTCACAACATTCTCATCCCTCCCTTGTTCCACCTCAATCTAGAAGCCTCAAAGTTGAGGCCTTGGGCCAGCGCAGTGGCTTATGCACGTAATCTCAGCACTTTGGAAGGCCAAGGCGGGTGGATCACTTGAGCCCAGGAATTTGAGAGCAGCCTGGGCAACATGACAAGACCCCATCTCTACAAACATACAAAAGTTAGCTGGATGTGGTGGGTGTGCCTGTAGTTCCAGCTACTTGGGAGGCTGAGGTAGGAGAATCACCTGAGCCTGGGAGTTTGAGGCTGCAGCGAGCCATGATCCTGCCACTGCACTCCTGCCTGGGCAACAGAGCAAGACCGTGTCTCAAAAAAAAAAAAAATTTAAGGCCCCTTCTGACATCTGGCCTCACCTCCCATGCCCCAGCCCCTCAATCAGCTGAGTATGTGACTTGACATGCTCTCCCTTAGCTCCTGGCCTTTGCACATGTCATTTTCTCTGCCCGATGCTCCCTTTCCCCAGATCTTCATGTGATTGATGGCCCCTTAAGTCATGGCTTGGAAGAGATCACACTAGGAAGACTTGTCTCCCAAAACCTACCTCGGTGCGCCTCCATGCTCTGCTGAACTTACTTCCTTACCTGAAGTTCTTTCTGGGAGGGTAGAGGTGGGGCTTTTTTCTTCCCTTACTTTCCTCTACCAGCTGCCAGGACACTGACTCTGAGCTGAATCAAAGAAAGATACATGAATGCTTCCATCTCCTTCCCCAAGCCCCCACACTCTGACCAGTCAGCAAGTCCTGTTCATTCAACCTGGGGAAGAACGAGAGATCTGGAAATAGGTTGCCTGGGTTTGAAACATGGCTCTGCCACTTACCAGTTGAGGGACCCTTAGGTAAGTCATTAACCTTGCAAAGCCTGTTTCCTTACCTGTAAAATGGAGCCAGTCATAGTTCCTGCTTCCTAAGATTATTGTAAGAAGTCAAGGGGTGGCCGGGCACAGTGCCTCATGCCTGTAATCCCAGCACTTTGGGAGGCTGAGGAGGGTGGATCACTTGAAGTCAGGAGCTCAAGACCAGTCTGGCCAATATGATGAAACTTCATCTTTACTAAAAATAAAAAAATTGGCTGGGTGTGGTGACATGCTCCTATAATCCCAGCTGCTTAGGAGACTGAAGCAGAATTGCTTGAACCCAGGAGGCAGAAGCTGCAATGAGCTGAGATTGCATCACTGCACTCCAGCCTGGGCAACAGAGCAAGACTCCATCTCATAAAAAAAAAAAAAAAAAAAAGTCAAGAGGCAATGCTTATAAAATGCCTAGCCCAGCATCTGACACAATCAGTAAATGTTAGCTGCATAATTTTACTCAATGTTTCAACCTGGCCACAGAAACTTCCCCTATCCTTGTCTCCTCCACCCCCATTTAATCATCATCCACAGTGGCGAATGTCCCACAGTACAAGCTTTCAGAAATGCCTGTGTAGCTAACACTCATGCCATTGAACAGGTAAGGCCCGTGGGGCCAGAAGGAATAGAGTACAGAGCCATAAGCCTACATATTAGACCTGATGGCTTGGCCACATCTTGGCCTAAGGAGCTAAACTTGTGGCTGTCTATGGGTCCAACAGCCTGCAGTGTCAGGTCTCCCAGGAAAGGACCAGGTACCAAGGGGCCACTCTCTTCACATTAGAGCAGGCTGGCACAAGTATTGGTTCCCATGGACCCTCAGAGTAGCCTAAGTCACGCTTAGGTGAGGAGTTAATGGAGTTTTGTTCCTTCTCTGCTTGATGGGTGCCTGGAGGTGAGGGCTGTGTAAAGGAAGAAGATGTGCATTTAAGCCTTGGTGCTGATGCTCTCTGCCTGCTGGAGGGTGGCTAGCTGCTAGCTGCTCCTGCTCCCTTGGGCTCCAGAGCCTTCTTAAATTGTCTTCAAAAAGGGAACAGTAATCCCTGACTGGTGCAGGACTTTTCAGTCCCCAAAACACATCGATTTTCATGATCTCACTTGATCCCTTAACTTTCCTCCCTGTGAGCAGACTAAGCCTCTCCTCAATTTGGCCAATTATAAATGTGAAGGTCAGAAAACACAATGTGCCTTGCCTAAGGCCACAGATTTACGGTGTGGTCATCCTGAGACAGGAACCCAGGTATCCTGGCTCCCTGTCCAGCGCTCTTACCGCTCTACCTGGCTGCTGTCCAAGGCAGTTAGTGGAATGTTCACTGTGGTGTGAGGGAACCAGGCTCCCCTTTTCTTTTTAACTCAATATTATTGAGCACCTACTAACTGTTAGCCATTGTATTAGGGATAAAATTACAGGCCTTTGTGGTGTGTGTGTGTGTGTGTTTTAATGGCCTTATTAAGGTGTAGTTGATAAACAAAAACTGCACGTATTTAATATATACAGGACCCAGGACTTTTAAGCAAATAGTTCTAGGCCCATAAACATATGAAAAGATGTTCAACCTTATTAGAATTCAGAGAGATGCAAATTGAGACCATTATGAAACCCTTTTACACCCACTGGATTGGCAAGAAATTAAGGAGCCTGACAATACCAAGTGTTGGCAAGAATGTGGACCAACCAGATGCTTATACACTGCTGGGAGGAATGTCTATGGGAATAAGCGACTGGGAAAATCATTCCAGTATGATCTTGTAAAGCTGATCGATAACTTTCCCTGCAGCCTCACAGTTCCACTGCTAGGCAACATATACTCCCAGGCACATACACACCCGTGCTTACCATTGTGAACACGCTGGTTGTTAGAATCTTGAAATACTTCCATGCCAGTTAGTAAATAGCTACTATTCCAAGTCTCTCCCACCCATTTACCTGTGACCCCCTGTGATTCAGCTGCCCCCAGCCTTTCTTTTAGGTACTCACCCAAATTCCCCATGATCCAACAACTAAAAGGTTAACACCCCATAGACTACCCCCAGGACCACATTCCAGCCCCACAGCATCCATTCTGATTGCTCAGTGGCCTCACCTCTCCAATTGTTCATTGTTATTGTGTCCACCCTATAGAAACCCTTACTCCATGCAACAAGAGAAATGCACAAGGTTATTCATAGAATCAATCTTCTTAATAGAAACAACAATAACCACAACAACCACAATAACCAAACAACTATAAATAACCTCAGGTCCATGGAAGGGAAATGCCCATCCAACCTGCAACCTGCTTCCCTCTGTCAGCTCAGAGAAGCTCTCCCGCAGGGTTCAGGGCAGACAGAAGAGATGGGCTCATTTTCTTTTCTTTCTTCATTTTATTTTTTTCTGAGACGGAGTCTTGCTCTGCCGCCCAGGCCAGAGCGCAATGGCGAGGTCTCGGCTCACTGCAACCTCCGCCTCCCGGGTTCAAGGGTTTCGCCTGCCTCAACCTCTCGAATAGCTGAGACTACAGGTATGTGCCACCACATCTGGCAATTTTTATATTTTTAGTAGAGACTGGGTTTTGCCGTGTTGCCCAGGCTTGTCTCGAACTCCTGAGCTCAGGCAATCCACTCACCTGGGCTTCCCAAAGTGCTAGGATTACAGGCATGAGCCACCACATCCAGCTTTATTCTTTAACTATTGATTGCACACCCATATGTGCAAGGCACCGAGCTGAGCTTGGGAGAAACAGCAATAGCCAGACAGAGTCCTTGCTTTCTGGAACTGTCAGCCTGCCCTGGGTGCCCCCAAGCTTGAAACACATTCCTCAGAGCAGCTGGGTGCTGACATGAAGCCCACACGCCTGGCTCAGTGGCCCTTCATCCTAGTAAAACGGCAAATGCAGGAGGCTGGCACTGAAGTATCTGGGTGTTTTGTCCCCACATGCCTCCTGTCTGACCTTCTGCCTGAGGAAAGAGTTTGTTTTTGCTCCAGGAAGAGAGGTATAGCTGTGGGAAATTCAATGTGCTTATTTATTTGTTTGGCTTCCCTAATTTAATCTTCTCAACAAATAAAAATAAAGACAGCATGTTTGCCCAAAGAGCAAAAGGCCCCACCTGAGATGTTATTACGCTTTCCAGAATTAGTCACACCATTACTGCTAGTGGCCAACGTGCCCAGGGCAACTGAGGGTTAGAAGCCCAAGCTCCCAGCCCAGCTCTGCCAATGATGGTTTGATATCAGAAAAGTCGTTTCACCTCTTCAATTCTTGTTTGCCTCCTTTATAAGATGAAATGCTTGGTGCTTCCAAAGTCAGAACTTTCACATTCACTATCTCATTTTTTGTTCTTAATATGCTGTGAAGAAGTCATTTTGATCCTATTTTACTGGTGGAGAAACTAAAGCAGAAGAGACAGACAAGTTCGAATGACCCAACTGATAAGAAGAGGCAGAGACAGAAGCGGAATCCAGACTTCCAACTCTTGCCTGAGGTCCTGGCGTCCTCACCAGGGTTTCTCATACTTGATTAACATACAGATACCGGCCGGGCCCGGTGGCTCAAGCCTGTAATCCCAGCACTTTCGGAGGCCGAGAGGGGCGGATCACGAGGTCAGGAGATAGAGACCATCCTGGCTAACCTGGTGAAACCCCGTCTCTACTAAAAAAATACAAAAAACTAGCCGGGCGAGATGGCGGGCGCCTGTAGTCCCAGCTACTC